AAACGCTTTTGTGTGTGAAAGTAACACTTGGATAATGGGAGATTAAATTTAATACAGTGGAGTGTAAGCTGATGCATTACAGCAGAAGAAATTGGATAAGATAAACTATACTTAGCAGTACAGGTCTAAAGAGCATGCTGGAACAAAAAGTGGCTGGACAGCGATTAGTAAAGCATAAGATTTTGAAATTCATAAATTGAGTACAAAAACTTGGAAATTGTGCTAACCATTTTATAAAACGTTTGTTATGCCACAGTTAGATTATTGTATACATTTCTGGTGAATGCATTTTAAGAAGGATATAAAGGCTTTTGAGAAGGTGTAGATAAGATATTATACATTGGCTGCAGCACTTAGGGGTTTTATTTTTGATTGTCTAGAAGGAAAAAAATGATATGTTAATTCTGAAAAGTCCCTCCTTGGCTCCTTTAAGGTAGTTGCTATGCTGACTTTTGTCAATTTAAAAATGTTGCTTTAAGAATTACAGGATTGTAGTAGCAGGTTTCTACCTGTAGGTAGTGTTTGTGCCAAATAAGAAATTATAGCATAAGATAACAAGGTGTAGAGCTGGATGAACACAGCAGGCCAGGTAGCATCAGAGGAGCAGGAAAGCTGACGTTTCCTGCCTGGACCCTTCTTCAGAAATGGGGGAGGGGAAGGGATTCTGAAATAAATAGGGAGAGAGGGGGAGGCGATGATGGAAGGTGGATAGAGGAGCAGATAGGTGGAGAGAAGACGGACAGGTCAAGGAGGCGGGGATGAGGCTAGTAGGTAGGAAGTGGAGGTGGGTGTTGGTCAGTGAGGTGGGAGGAATGGATAGATGGGAGAAAAGACGGACAGGTCAAGGAGGCGGGAATGAGCTGGGCTGGTCTTGGGATGAGGTCGGAAGGTGGGGAGATTTTGAAGCTTGTGAAGTCCACATTGAGACCATTGGGCTATGGAGTTCCCAAGCAAAATATGAGGTGCTGTTCTTCCAGCCTTCGGGTGGCATCGTTGTGGCACTGGAGGAGACCTAGGATGGACATGTCGTCCAAGGAGTGGGAGGGGGAGTTGAAGTGGTTTGCGACTGGGAGGTGTAGTCGTTTGTCACAAACCGAGCGTAGGTGTTCCACAAAGCGATCTCCAAGCCTCCGCTTGGTTTCCCCGATGTAAAGGAGGCCATATTGTGAACAGCGGATACAATATACCACATTAGCAGATATGCAGGTGAACATCTGTTTAATGTGGAAGGTTTTCTTGGAGCCTGGGATGGGGGTGAGGGGGGAGGTGTAGGGGCAAGTGTAGCACTTCCTGCGGTTGCAGGGAAAAGTGCCAGGGGTGGTGGGGCTAGTGGGGAGTGTGGAGCAGACGAGGGAGTCATGGAGAGAGCGGTCCCTCCGGAAGGCAGATAAGGATGGGGAGGAAAAAATGTCCTTGGTAGTGGGGTCAGATTACAGGTGGCCAAAGTGGCGGAGGTTGATGCGTTGGATCCGGAGGTTGGTGGGGTGGTACATGAGGACGAGGGGGATTCTGTCTTTGTTGTTATTGCAGGGAGGGGGTGTGAGGGATGATTTGCGGGAAACGCGAGAGATGTGGTCAAGGGCGTTTTCGACCACTGTGGAGGGGAAATTGCAGTACTTGAAAAACAAGGACATCTGGGATGTCTGGGAATGGAATGCCTCATCTCGGGAGCAGATGCGGTGGAGGCGAAGGAATTGGGAATAGGGGATGGCCTTTTTGCAAGAAGGTGGGTGAGAGGAGGTGTATTCTAGGTAGCAGTGAGAATTGGTAGGCTTGAAATAGATATCAGTTTCCAGGTGGTTGCAGAGATGGAAACAGAGAGGTCCAGGAAGGAGAGAGGGGTATTGGAGATAGTCCAGGTGAACTTAAGGTTGGGGTGGAAGGTGTTAGTAAAGTGGATGAATTGTTCAAGCTCCTCGTGGGAGCGCGAGGCGGCGCCAATACAGTCATCAATATAACGGAGGAAGAGGTGGGAGATGGGGCCAGAGTAGCTGCGGAAGAGGGACTGTTCGACATATCCTACAAAGAGGCAGGCATAGCTTGGGCCCATGCAGGTACCCATGGCCACCCCTTTTTAGGAAGTGGGAGGAGTTGAAGGAGACGTTGTTAAGGGTAAGGATGAGTTCGGCTAAGCGGATAAGGGTGTCAGTGGAAGGGGACTGATTGGGCCTGTGGGAGGGGAAGAAGCGGAGGGCGTTTAGGCCATCTGCATGGGGAATGCAAGTATATAGGGACTGGACATCCATGGTGAAGCTGAGGTGTTGAGGACCAGGGAATCGGAAGTTTTGGAGGAGGTGGAGGGCGTGGGTGGTTTCACAGACATAGGTGGGGAGTTCCTGGACCTAGGGGAGAAAATGGAGTCGAGATAAGTGGAGATAAGTTCGGTGGGGCAGGAGCAGGCAGAGACAATGGGTCAGCCAGGGCAGTTGGGTTTATGGATTTTGGGAAGGAGGTAGAACCGTGCATTGCTTTTTTTGACAATTTGGAGAGGGTGGAACTGACTAATATCTGTATTTAAGTAAGACTTTATAATGTAGAAAATTGTGTTTTTAGTATTTTTAAGCTGCACTTTCTTCAACGGGAGCTTTGATCTTGTGCTTTCAGGGCCATTTTTAAAAATCCAATCAACAGCCTATTTTTCTTTAAAAAGAGAGGGAGAGTAGTCACTTTGCTTCAGTTCAAGTCTGTGAAATTTAGTTTTAAATGTATTTGGAACTACAGCCTTATCATTGTTCATTAAAGTAATTTTAGAACTCTGTCAACTTGAAAGAACTTGTATTCTAATGAAAACTAAATTAGCTCTGTCTTCTTGACAGTCACTGCCCTATCTACAGATCCGTATAGCTATATCTACTCCCAGGAACTGATATTGCTATTCGTCCAAATACTCTGACATCTTGGAGATAGTAGGAACTGCTGATGCTGGAGAATCTGAGATAACAAGGTATAGAGCTGGATGAACACAGCAGGCCAGGCAGCATCAGAGGAGCAGGAAAGCTGACGTTTCAGGTCAGTCTGGCCTGCTGTGTTCATCCAGCTCTACACTCTGACATCTTGGTTGTCTGCTTGATCTCTAACTAGCTTTCCAAGTATCTTCCAGCAAAACGTTGGAGTATTTTATGTACAGCCACGTGGCAGTACTAACCATGATGTGAGTTTTTTTTTCTCCAGTGCAGTGTTTTACCTGATACAGTAATGTTTATATTACCTCCTGTAACCTAAGAAACTGAACATGATTATTATGGTGTTGAAGAATCCAATAGGCGTTTATTATAGCTAACTATTTACCACAAATATTAGATTACAGCAGAGCAGCAGAAGCTTCCAGAAATTTCATGTTTTGAGCAATGCTAGGATAAGAAGGCCTATGAGACCTTGACACCTTCAGGCTACATGCCATGATACAGTAATATCATGAGCATGTCTCTAAAAGGTATATTGGCATACTGCCCATGAAATACAGCTCAGCATAGAGAAAGAAAATCTGTTCCCATTTCCATATAGTTCAAGGACTGTTCAACCCAGAGTTAGAGGTTTTGGGCATGAGGCAAAAATGGATGTGAGGAAGAATTGTTTTTGGTGGTAATGACCCAGAACATTTTTGCCTATGAAGATAGTGGAAGCAGAGAAAATGAATAATCTCAAAAGAAAATTGGGTAGGTACATGAAATAAATAATCTTAGAGGATTATGGAGCTGAAGGAGGAGAATGGGTCTGATGAGATTGTTCCACAGGGAGCCATCATGAATTACATTGGTGCACGGAACTTTTAGTCTTTTTAACACTGTGGAATCTCCTGAATTAATATATTCATCACTGTTGTAGGGTGTGTTTTTTAAAATCAAATGATGGTTATTGCATTTAGGGATTTTTATTGCCACTGGGAGTTGTTACATTAATAAAATTATTGCATTGTGCTGGGTAATGCTTTGGATTACTTGATTCTCAAATTAGGATACCGTCTTTAGCTTGGCTCTGAGTGAATTGTAAAAACATAAAGCACTGCACATGCTGTAAATCAGGAACAAAAACAGAAGTTGCTGGAAAAGCTCAGCAGGTCTGGCAGCACCCGTGAAGGAAAAATCAGAGTAAGTGTTTTGGGGTCCAGTGACCCTCACGGTGACTGAAACGTTAACTCTGATTTTTTGTTCACAGAAGTTGCCAGACCTGTTGAGCTTTTCCAGCAACATCTGTTTTTGAGTGAATTGTAGTTTCTTCATGAGGTCCAGTGAAATGTTGCAGAACATTATCTTATTCTCATTATTATCAATATTATTGCTTTGTTGGAAAATGAAATTACCTTCAAACATCCTAAACTAAACAAGATAGGAATATGTTTTTGAAATATTAGTTTTGAAACTGTTTGGCACTTTGTCAACCATCCTGGATCATCAGCATATTTATATCAAGGAAGCTGAATTTTTCTTTTAAATTTATTAAGCCTGTAGAAAATGCCATAGTATATAAAGTAGAATTTTATTTGATATTGATAGAAGAAAAATAAAAAGGTCTACAAGGGAACCCAAATATACACGTTACAACTTATCATTGATTCTTTGTGAAAGATTTTAATTGCAGTTTACAATCAGTCTCAATGGATGTGCAGTATGCGTGCAAGTTCTTCAGTATGCTATTTTCATGAATTTATCATCCAATTTAAAACAAGCAACCTTTATAAAATAGCAAGCAGGAATTTTATCAAAACATGCCAGTTCAAGATACAACAGAAGTAAGTACAGTTCCCATTTGGGTATGACTGACAAATAAGGTAAGAACCTTGGTGAAGTTGTCGAGGTCTCTCTGGACAATTGTAGTCCTAACCATTTTTCTAGAGTCATCTATGATTGCTCAGAGATCTTCCTATATCGCTAACTGATCAAAACTGAATTCGTTTTCAAAGAATATTTTGTTTATTTAATGCAAGCTGTGTAGGATCTGTAGTTTACTTTTACTGATATGTTTCAGAGTTTTTCTCGAATTGCATTCCACTTTGTTGACAGGAACAGCATCTGTGGCTGTAGCTGGTATACTTGCTGCATTGCGAATCACCAAGGACAGACTTCATGATCATAAGTTTGTCTTCCAAGGAGCTGGGGAGGTAACATTGCTTCTCTATATTTTTTCACTGAAACCCCCTACATCCCTCTTTCAGAATCTGTCAAGGAGAGCAATATTTGGTTTTAACTTCTATTCTGAAGTATTTTTAACATGCAAATATTTTTGAAAATTTCTATTGGCACTCTGACTTCGACTTGCAACCACATCAGTTGACCTGATGGATAGTGCACCTACTGTGCACTCTGTATTGTAAAAATAGATGTAATGAATTTTGTTGCAGTGTTGTATCCGCTTAGAATTTTTTTACATGAGCATAAATGGGACTTGCCCCTGTAGTTAGACATAGCTTGGTTGCAAATTTTTTAATAATAATTGTGGTTGATTTTGATATTCAAATTCATTTTAACTTCTTGCAAGCCCCTTTACTGATGCACAAAGTTTTGTTGCCTGTGTATTAACTGTACCTCATATGATTGTGTGCAGCAATGTAATATTTGCAAAAGTTGTTAGTTCTAGTTACTGATATATTTTTGTGAAGTAGTCCCACATCTGAGTTGTCCTTTGAGTGTGTTGTTTTTAAACTTTAAAATTGTTGCATTCATTTGGAAACTGTGATCTATGTAGCTATGACTTTATTAACGTATCATAGGCTGCCATGGGAATTGCACATCTCCTCATGATAGCTATGGAGAAAGCTGGAATACAGAAAGAAGAAGCTGTAAAAAAGATTTGGATGGTGGACTCCAAGGGCCTTATTACTAAGGTAGAAATTTTGATGTCATTGAAACCTTATAGTCTATTTCTATGAAGTTAAGTATTTTTTACATTTAAGGGTGAACAAAATCACACAGTAAGAATACCAACATATTCAACAAATCAAAATTGCATCTGTTCCAGAACTTGGGTGGTTTGAACAATCAATGAGTGTCCCACATGTAGTCCTCAAACATCACTCAGTTTGTTGAGTTTTGGGTGAGGTACATTTAAATAATTTTTCAGTGAATGTAAAATATCTAAGAGTGTTTTCAGAAACTCAACGGTTGCCTGTGGCATTGCCAAACTATTTATTAGAGGATATTACCTCACCTGTCTAATACTCGTCTTCTGTTTCTGTCTCCTCTCTTTCTCTTCTCAACTACTTCTCTCTTAACTCTTCTTTCTTCATTTTCTTTTCAAGTGGGAAGTACTGTTTGGTATGTTCCCATGTGGTGGTTGGAATAATGTGGGGTGGCAAGGAAAAGAGCCACCAATTACTACAGACTGTTTAGTTTGGGGGTTTCAGAACACTGGAACATTCAGCAAGTTGTTTCTCCACACCCCTCACTAATGCTGTCCCATTTATTTCCATTACATCCACAAAACCACTACACCTTCCCAATTTTGACGCCCTCCCCTATAATTCCTTCTGATCTATCACTACCTCAATCCCATTACCCTGTCATCATCCACTTTCTACTCTTTCTGCTTTCGCATATACGGTCCCACAAAGGATGAATACAGAAAAGCCAGAGATCCTGTCACCATCAACCTGTGGCTTTTCTTCAAAGCAGTTTATTTCCATTCTAAATTCAACTTGCATTGCATTAAAATAAATCAAACTGTAACTAAAGAAATAAATTTTATGTTGCATTGCTCTCTATTTATGTTATTCCTCTCTAATCTCCGACATCAAATGATTCTCCATTGTCCCACTCAGTGATACTGTCCTTGCTTAGTTTTATTTTTACCAACCTAGACATAGCCTGACTACCCTCAGAACAGCTTCTTTTTCCCAGCTCATATCATAGAGTATTTATCCCTTACTCTCTATTCTCTTTATCCATATTCTTTTCCTTAGCAAACACATCTGTAGGCATACCTTAAACATGTATCTTGATGGCACCCTGCTCCACCACACCACCCCCTTGAACTCTCCACTGCATTTATGTTGTTGAATTGCTGTTTAACATCCAGTCTAGGATGCGGCATGACTCTTCCACTTCATTGTGGGAAACAAACTGTTACCTCAGTCTAAACCATATTGTTCGCATTTGCAGCCGAGATGTTCAGTTTGACCCTGAGCTGAGTTCCCAACTCTATATGCCCAGTTTTACAAAGATCACCAGCCACATAAGTAAGCAAGGTGGGAGCATTTAGAAATATACATTGTATTCAAATAGAGTCAACATGCTTTCATAAAGGGGAAATCACACTTAAGAAATTTATTAGAATTCTTTGAGGAGGTAACAAGCAGGATAAATAAAGAGGAATCAGTGAATGTGATATATTTGGATTTCCAAAAGGTGTTTCATGAGATATTACACAGTAGGCTACTTAATAAGATAAGTGCCCATGGTGTTGGGGTATTATATTCGCATGGGTAGAGAATTGGCTTAACTAATAGAACACAGAGATTTGTGATAAAGGGGAGCATTTTCAGGATGGAAAACTGTAAACTGGGAGAGTGCTACAAGGATCAGTGCTGGGCCCACAATTATTTACAACATATATTAATGACAAGAGAAAACAAGGCAGATGGAAGATAACGTGGGAAAATGTGAGGTTTTGCACTTTTGCAGGAAGAGTAGAGGAGTTGCATATCATTTAAATGAAGAAGAATTGCAGAAAGCTGAAACACAATGGGATTGGGGGTCTGTACTTAAATCACAAAAAAAAAATGAGCATTGTAAATAGAGTAGGTGATTAGGAAGGCAAATGGAATATTCGCCTTTACTTCAGGGAATGGAGTTAAAAAATAGGGAAGTATAGCTAAAACTATACAAGATGCTAGTTACATCACACCTAGAATATACCTGAGGGAAGATACTCTGACATTGGAGGCAGTCCAGGGAAGGTTCACAAAGTTGATCCCAGGTACGGAGGTATTGTTTCATGAGGAGAGGTTGAGTAGGTTGGGCCTGACTCATAGGCATTTAGAAGGAAAGACAACCTTATTGAAACTAAGGGGGCTTGACAAGGTAGGTGTGGAGAGGTTGTTTCCCTTGTGGGAGAGTCTAGGACTAGTGGGCCTAATCTGGAACATGACAGATTAGAAAGAGTTTCTTCTCTGAGGGTAGTGAATCTGTAGAACTTCACCTCAGAGCTGTAGGGGCTTGACCATTAAGTATATTCAAAGCTGAGGTTAAGTGAGGGGATTGCGAATTATGGGGAAAAGACAGGAAAGTGGAGCAAGTCAGCCATGATCCCATTGAATGGTGGAGCACACTTGATAGATCAAATGACCTATTTCACCTCTTAGGTCTTGTCTTAAATTGCTGCCAGCACTGGAGGTGCACATGTACATCATATGGACTGCAGCAGTTCAAGAAGATTGGTCATCCATCACCTTCTCAAGAGCAATTCGCAATGGACAATAAATGCTGACCTTGCCAGCAACATCCATACCACGAAAAGAAATGTTTTAATAATTCAATGCCATGGATTCTTACATCCTTACCTCAGCTCATCTGCTGCTGAAGCTCTTCTTGATAACTTATCTCTTCCAGACTTGACCATTTAAATGCTCCCACACTTGAGGTCATCCATAATTCAGCAGCCCACATCTCAACTGGCAGCAAATCCCATTCCCTTATTTCCCACCCCTCTGCTAACTGACATACGTTGTCTTTCAGTAATGTCTTTACTTTAAAATCCCCATTCTCATTTTTAATCCCCTTTGTAGCCTTACCTCGACATTATTTCTATAATCTCCTCCAGGCCCACAACCCTGTGAGATTTGGCATTCCTTTAATTCTGGCCTCTTCATTCCCATTACAATTGCTTCCATTTGTGGCTGTACCTTCAATTGCCTGAGTGCCATGTTGTGAAATATCCTGCCTTTGCCTCTCCACTGCAATTTCCTCCTTTAAGATTCTTCTTAAAACCTTCTTTGACTAGGTTTTTAGTTGTCTGACCTTATATCTCCTAATATGGCTTGGTGTTGTGCTTTGACTTATTATGTTCTTCTTAAGCACCTTGGACTGTTTCATTGCATTAAAATTGCTATGCAAATATAATTTGGTGTTGTTGCCTCCTGCCTGGTTTTCCTTCATCCGTAAGTTATGCTTGCCCACCGCACCCATTCTCACTGACCTCAGTTGGCTCCAACTCGTCTTAGTGCCTCACATATAAGATTCGCTTCCTTATTTATAAATCTGTATGTGGTTTGCCATTTTCTGTCTCCAGATATCAACAACCCTACTACCCAACTTCATTTTCGCACCCCATCCAAAAGCCAATCCAAACCCACTAGTCTTAACTTTAACCCCCTTGTGCATCCACTTCCTTTACCCTGTCATTGACAACAAGACTTCACATTGTCGAAAGATCCTATTTCCAGAATTTTCTTCTCAATCCTCTTCCATCTGTCTATCCATTTAAGAAACAACCTTTAAATGACTAGCTGAAGAAATAAATCTGTAATTCACTATTTTCCCTTCCCACCCAGCAACCCTTCCACATCCCCCTCCTCCTTCCTACAGCCTTCAAGGAATTATTTCCTTATTCTTTGCCCCTCACACCATTATGAAATACTTTGGAACAGTTTTCAAGGTATGCAAGTACTGTTGGTTAGAAACAGCAGCAACATGCTCCACGTTAAAGCAAATATGCCAAACCAAGTGTTATTGATTCAGATCTAATCTTGTAACACTGCTCTTGATTTGATGGTGTGAATTTAGTCTAACCTTTTTTAATTCATGTGAAAGAAACAGTGGTTGAAATTTGATCCACTGCATGCATCATTGTCAACACCCTCCCATGATCATGATGATGGACATGCAGCAAACCAACTCTGTTCAGATTCAGGTAGTTTCAAAGGGTTCTCTGTTGCCAATGGCTAAAGAGACTAATCCACGAGAGGCAGATTCTGCCACATATGAAGTGGAAGTGCTGTGTGTATAAAATCCATATTATTCTTACTGTGTATTCTTCATTCTCATCTTGTGCAGGGAAGAACCCACTTGACCCACGAAAAGCAGGTGTTTGCTCAGGATCATCAGCCAATAAGTAGCCTGGAAGAAGTTGTTCGCAAAATTAAACCAACAGCTTTAATTGGTAAGTTAAAGAATGAATGTTACCTTTGTTCATGCTGAGCTTTAGTGTAAGATTGTGACACTGAGCTGCCATGGATATGGAGAAGTATTAATATGTCTTAAATTGGAGCATTAAAAACTCCACTTTTTTAAAAAATGCAAAGGACTTGCTAAATCCTGAAGTTTAATTGGAATTTGTTTTTCTTCGCATCTGGATTTAAAACACCAGAAAAGAAAGTTTGCTACTTCTTGCAGTTTAGAGAAATGCTGTTAATGAAATCAAATTGAAAATGTTCAATGTAGTCCTCAGTACTTGAGTCCACAACACAAAGTCGAACTTTAGGCTCTAACCAGTCCTGTAGCCTGCAATCTTGTTCTCCGCCACCCTTCTCCAATCAGTACACATTTATAATAACTTGATGTTTGGTCAAATAAATGTAATCAATGGGGCAGCAACATTGTTGTGGTTACTATCTTAGTGAAAAATGCAACTCACTGACATTCCTATATCACTAGAAAAGTGGAAGTTGGATGATTCTGCTCTTGAGCAGCACTTGCTGAACAATTACCACACAACCAACCAATTTAAGATAATTATTTACAGTTGCTAGAAGTGACATATATTCACATGCAGGGATCTGTTCTTTGCAAATAAAAGGAATATGTTGAGGGTTGCATCTTTTGTTTTTGACTTACTCAGAAGCATATGGTTCCCTGTCATTTCCTCCATGTCAGTGTCTAGACAATCAGATTCAATTTGACATTGAACCTGCACCTTTTTCTCCTGCAATGTAAATTGTTGAAATCATTTGAAATTTGGCACTCTTATGCTAGGTCTGATGAGTACAAGATGAAAACGTTGGCAACATGTTTAAATTTTCAACAGTGTTCAAGTTATTTTGCAATATAAAACGTCAGTTAAGATTATCTTTAGGGGTATCATCTTCTGTAAGTATTTGTTATTTTTAAGAGATTGTTTAAAGTGATTTCAAATGCCCAAATCAGGGAAACTTGTAGAAACCAATTACTGTAAGATTACCATGTAGATTTGCAGTTTCTGTCAGGCTACGGGGTTAAAGGATACGACTGCTTGTATTTTCAATATCACGGTCTGGCATCCTCCAGTGACCTTCTAAAATCCTGATAATGAAGTATTTATTTTAAAAAATATATTTTGAGGGTTGGTAAGGACAGTGATTTCTTGTTTCTGATATTTTAATGCTTTTATAGCCCTCACATTGATAACATTTGGCTGTGCTTTTGTGCAAGGAATATGCACACTATCCATATATTTAGTACAAATGAACAAATTGTACCCACAGACTGCAGATGTGTCTGTTCTTTCCACTATTATAAAACGTACTGCTGGTACATATGGTGCAGTGGTAATGCCCATACCTGTGCGCCAGGAGACCTGGGTTCAAGTCCCACCTGCCCCAGAGGTGTGTAATAACATCTCTGAACAGGTTGATTAGGAAATAAAGTATAAAGCAATTGTTTTTGGTGGTAATGACCCAGAACGTTTTTGCCTTTGAGGATAGTGGAAGCAGAGAAAATGAATAATCTCAAAAGATAATTGGATAGGTACTTGAAATAAATAATCTTAGAGGATTATGGAGCTGAAGGAGGAGAATGAGTCTGACTAGATTGTTCCACAGGGAGCCAGCATGAACTCCATAGGTGCACGGAACTTTTAGTCTTTTTAACACTGTGGAATCTCCTGAATTAATAAATTCATCGCTGTTGCAGGGTGTTTTTTTTATATCAAATGCAGGTTATTGCATTTAGGGATTTTTATGACACTGGGAGCTGTTACATTACTAAAATTTTTGCATTGTGCTGGGGAATGCTTCAGATCACTTGATTCTCCAATTAGGATATTGTGTTTAGCTTGATTCTGAGTGATTTGTAAAAACTGAAAGAACTGCGGATGCTGTAAATCAGGAAATATTGCTAATGCCCGTGGCCAGGGCATTTCTTCCTGGTGGTATTTAGCCAGCCGTTGTTTCAGGGTCTTATTTATCCTTTCCACCTGTCCTGATGACTGAGGATGATAGGAACAGTGAAAATTCCAGTTGATTCTCAACAACCGGCAGACCTCCTGACACACTGTTCCTGTGAAATAGGTCCCCTGATCCAAGTCAATGCTGATGGGTAGCCCCCATTGGGGTATGTAATCTCTACACAGTACCTTGGCTGTGTGGTTGGCTGTGGCCTTTCTCATGGGCGTAGCTTCTACCCATCTTGAAAACCTACCCACAATTACCAAGACGTATGAGTATCCCTGACAGTGTGGGAGTGAGAAATAAACAACCTGCAAATACTGGAATGGACCTGGAGGTGCTGGTGCTTTCTCTTGGGAGACTTCCACTCTGGTCCCTGGGTTGTTTTTCTGGCAAGTGAGGCAACAGTCCACTATCGCTTGAACATATATTTTAAAGCCTCATCCCCACCAGCTGCACTCGAACCGGGCTGTCATCTGTTCTGGCCCCAAATGTCCCCAGTAGTGGAATTGTTGTGCAAGATATGGCATCAGGGCAGTGGGTGCAATTTGTCGGTTTGATTCCCGGTGCCTCCAGATTCCGTCTTCGCGTAACCTGTGTCTGTTTACAGTCCTTCCCATTTTTCCTTTCGGGAACATTCACGCTGCATTGTTTGCAGATCTTGATTTGTTGTCCCAGTGTTGAGGCAGCAGACGTGCATTGAGGCTCATGACAGGAGTGATTGGAGGTGGCTCTTCTGGCTGCATTGCCCTGGGCTTCTACGTTGCTGTCTTCAGTGTGGGCTTTACACTTTAATATGGCCACTTTTTTGGGTAACTGGAGAGCATCCAGCAGGTCCTTGAATTAAGTCCTGTTCCTGATGGGGGTACCTGCAGCAGTTAGGAATCTGCGCTGCTTTCATAGCTGGCCAAAGTCATGGGCAACTCCAAAAGCATAGTGGCAGTCCGTGTAGATGCTGGCAGATTGATTCTCTGCTACTCTGCAGGCTTCAGTTAGAGCCCGTAACTCCACTTGCTGTGCTGATGTGCCGGGGTGGGGGGGGGGGGCGGGGGGGGGGGGGGGGGGGGGGGGGGTGTGGTAGGCTACCCAACGTTATGACAGTGTGGAGTGTCGTGACAGCCCGTCCAGCTTTCCTTATACCCTTCTCCACAAACAAAGATCTGTCAGTGTAAAGGATGAGGTCTGGGTTTTGTAAAGCCTCATCCATCATTTGATTGTTGTCCTCCTTCCTGCATGATCCCAGTGCAGCCATAGTCGTTTTCCTGTTCTTCTGTCAGTAAATGCAATAGCGTGGCTGGATTGACTGGGCTTGCATGAATTATATGTAGGTTAGAGACTTTCAGAACTGTTGTCCACTGGGTCCATTGAGCAGCATTCACCTGGGATACACTGTTCATTGAGAACGAAGTGTGCACAGCATGCGAGTATTTAACAGTTAATTTCTGGTCCAACAACAGACTTGCAGTGACTTCCACCACCTTGCATGTAGTTTGTACCGCTCTCAAAAAGCTGCCCACCCGAGGGCTACACTGTCCAATTTCCCTCAATAGTATCCGACAGGTCTTAGTCTGTCCCCGTGTTCCTGGGCCAGTACTTTTGTCATGTATTCCTCCTCCTCACGCACAAACAATGTGAAGGGTTTTCCGTTATTAGGAATCCCCAATGCTGGTGCGGAACAAAGTGCTTTTTTTCAGGTCCTGGAAGGCTTCTTCCTGTTCCCGTGTCAATGTTCTTTTGAGTCCCGTTTTCCCTTCAGGATGTCTGTCAGGGGCTGGGCCAGTTGGGTGTATGAGTCAACCCAGCACCGGTTAAAATTGCATAAACAAAGGAAGGCCCTCAATTCACGAGTAGTTGTAGGCTGTTTGACAGTGTGTATGGCTGCAGTCCAACCCTGGGTGATCTCCCTTTTCCACTGGGAGATTTTCTGCCCCAGATAAAGCACCTCTTTCTGGGCAAACTGAGCCTTTTCCGTACTAGCTTTATGGCCTTTTCGTTGCAGGTGATTTTGAAGAGTTTTAAGATCTATCTCGTGTTGTCTTTCTGTTTCGGAAGCTGCCAGTATATCATCCACGTACTGAATGATAACTGACCCGGTTGGTGGCATTTGACAGAGGTGGTACACAGTTGGGCTGTTGTGGAATCCCTGTGGAAGTCGGGTCCGTGTGTATTGTTGTTGCCGTACAGTAAAGGCAAACCGCAAGAGTACTTCAGGTGCTAGGGATACTGACCAGAAGCCATTAGTCATATAAGAACATAAGAACTAGGAGCAGGAGTAGGCCATCTGGCCCCTCGATCCTGCCCCGCCATTTAATAAGATCATGGCTGATCTTTTTGAGACTCAGCTCCACTTACCCGCCCACTCACCATAACCCTCAATTCCTTTACTGTTCAAAAATTTATCTAGCCTTGCCTTAAAAACATTCAGCGATATATATATCTATAACTGAAAACCACTTGTGGTCTGGTGTTAAGGCACTAAATATAGTAGAGGGGTCAGCTACCAGTGGGGCCTTCTGATCAATGCACTGATTAGCCTTCCTATAGTCTACAGTCAGTCACCATTCCCCACTTGCCTTCAGGATGGGCCACACCAGGACAAGTGGGACAGACCCCCAGTAGCCCTGGAAAAACCCAGGACAGATGCCCAGGCAAGTGTTACATCTGTGGGAAGGAAGGCAAAGGGGGAAAGGGCAGAGCTCCCCAAAAGGGCCCGAAGGAAAGAGAGACCCCTATGGCAGGAAGTAATCAGTTTAAAAGGCTGTCCACTCAGCTGCAACAGGAACTGCTAAGCATGACAAAAAACTGAATGAGCCCGCCCCGTGCCCCTTTCCTCTAGGCTTTGAATTATTGGGAGCATTCCTGTAATTGACATCAGGCTAATGGGATACTGTTTGGTGCAAGGCGGGGGCGTCCCTGTGAAGACCACGGGTTCCATTTACAGTAACCCGCGTTATCCTTGTCTTTAGACCAGATAAGTTGTTCTTTAATTCTTCCCTCGGTAGGGCGCTGATGGATCATG